CTTCTGAAATGAACATGAAGATAGTTTGTAGCCAAGTTGGTTTTATTACCTTTATGCTTCATAATTTTTCATCCTGTTACTAATTTGATAATTCAAGAATACTTTCTGGGGCTGGGAAGGTGACTCAGTGGTAGAGTGCTTGCCTTGCATGCCTGATGCCCTGGGTTCGATTCCTCAGCACCACATAAGCAAAAAGAAAAAGGCAGAAGTGGTGCTGTGGCTCAAGTGGTAGAGTGCTAGCCTTGAGCTGAAGAGCTGAGGTACAGTGCCCAGGCCCAGAGTTCATGCCCCATGACTGGACCAAAAAAAAAAAAAGAATACTTTCTGAACCAGCTTTTATTCTGCATACCCCACCTCAGTCCAGAAAAGTTTTTAGGCAGCCTGTAAGCTATTAAAAAATGGTGTTGAGGATGTTTGAACTCTGCAGCAGCAGATCTCCAAACAGATGCATGGAGTAGCTCACTGTTGGCCTTTACTTCTCCTGAAGCAGTACTTCAATAGTTGGGGTCATTTCCAACCACAGTGAGGTAGGATAGCCCATGCTATCCCATTTGCTTCACTTTTTACACAGCTTATTTGGAGGGCACAGAAAGGCAAATAGAACATATCACCTAGAAATATTCCATCTTCTGATGTTTTCTTGCTATCCTCAGTATACATGTGCATAGAAATTTACAGTATGTATTTTACTCGTACACACAGAAAAAGAAATCATAGTGTTTAAACTTTATAATTATACTTAACATTATATTGTGAACTTTTTCCTATCAAATATTTTTCCCAGTTTCTTCGAGTTTATGAATATCTCTGTGGTATTTAGTCAGTTCTATTTTTCTATATTTCACTTAGTTACAGAATGACTATTGAAAAGCGTACCATGATAAATACTAAGGCTTAGCCTTTTTTTTTTTTTTTTTAAGAAATGGTTATTATAGAGGTGATGTACAGAGGGGTTACTGTTTCATAGGTCAGGTAATGAGTGCATTTCTTTTTGGACCCCTTCCTTTGCATGCTCCCAGTTTTTCCCTCTCATCACCATCCTAAGTTGTGTTGCTTATTTTCCACATAGTGTCTCTTGAGAGTCTTTATTTATTCATTTATTTTTGTTGGTTGTCGGGTTTAAACTCTGGGCCTGGGCTCTGTCCCTCAGCTCTTCAGGTTAAGGCTAGTGCTCTGCAACTTGAGCCACAGTGCCATTTCTGGTTTTCTAGTGGTTTATTGGAGATAAGAGTCTCACGGACTTTCCTGCCTGGGCTGGCTTTGAACCACGATCCTCAGAGCTCAGCCACCTGAGTAGCCAGGATTACAGGCGTGAGCCATGGGCACCTGGTGAATGTTTGTTTTTATATAAGTATTTTCAAATGAATTCAAGATGGCTGAAGTTAGCAGTCTCAGAAGTGAGTTCTTGTGTTTGTGGTTAGCAAGTAGAGCAGGTTGCCTGCTGCCTGTCAGTGGAGCAAGTGACAGTGAAGAGACCAGGTGTCTGGTTCTCGGCACAGTGCTGGCTCTATCACTCCCTGTATGTGTTATACTCACCATGCTTAATCTTTGCCACACTTGTATAAGGCAAGTACTGTTACTTCGTTACATTGACAAGACAACTAGCATATTGAAAGGTTAATTTTTTTGTATAGAGTTACATAACCAGTGGCAAGCCAGGATTTACTTAATGTTAATTTAAACCTAATTTAATCAATTTTTCAATAATTATTTTATTGTGACTCTGCATATATGCATATGTACAAAATAATCTCATTTGACTTACAAAAACAGGATGGCAAAAGGAACTAAGGTGACTAACAAAAAAAAAACTGGTTAGAAAAATGAGTATAGTATAGTGTTTCAGATCATTCATTCTACCATGGAGAGACCATCTCAGTCTATGTAGAATGATGAATGCTGTGCTACATCTGTCTGCAAACTGACAAACTAATTGATCCTGTAATTATAGCTACTTAAAATAATGCTCAAAGAAAGAGCTCAAAAGCCAGGGCACCATTCTGCAATGGTGAAGGGCTTGCTTCTTCCTAGACCAGGAGAGGAAATACTCAACTATAAAGCTGTTAACGTTTTCGTAAATAACAATTACTGTGGTGTTAGATACATGAACTCTTCTTTCTAATACCTATGATAATCTTTCAAAAATTCTGTTTGGTTGAGTACCGGTGGCTCATGTCTATCTACTCAGGAGACTGAGATCTGAGGATCAAGGTTTGAAGCTAGCCTGGGCAGGAAAGGCTGTAAGGTGCTTACCTTCAATTAATGAGCAAAAAATCATAAGTGGAGCTGAGCTCAAGTGGTAGAGTACCATCCTTGAGTGAAGAAGCTGAGGGGCAGTGCCCAGGCCCTGAGTTCAAGGTACCAGGATTGATATTGGTATAAACAAAAGAAAAAGTGATTTCAAACTCCAGGACTTGAGCTCACAATCTGACAGCAGAGCCCATGCTGTCACTTCTTCCTGAGAGTCACAATGAACGCTTGCTACGTGTCTGCGGGAATAGCACACCACATCCACGTGACAATTTGTGTCAGTACTAAGTATGAGCACACCTAGCTACTCGAAAGCCTGATATCTGAGGATCAGGGTTTGAAGCCAACCTGGGCAGGAAAAGTCTGTAAGACTATTATCTTCAATTAACTACCAAAATGCTGAATGTAGAGCTGTGGCTCAAGTGATAGAGCAAAAAAAAATTCTTAGGAACAGTATCCAGGTCCCAAGTTTAAGTTTTAGGACCAGTTTGTGTGTGTGTGTATGCATGTGCATGCGCATATGTGCACACACACAGACATACACACAAAACTATTAATAGTCTGATGCCACTGTATGTTTCCAAACAGGTTAGGAGGAATGTATGGATTTGGGACCTGTGTGAGAGTCAGTGGAGTGCTGTAGTCTCTTGCACACTCATACATGAAAGAAAGTCCAGAATTATATACCTATATAATTATGTCGGAGTGCTCCTCTCACATTGCGATCTGAGAAGGGAGGGGCACCTAAGCGTTGATCTTCCCATCTTTCTTCCCTACATTAGAATAACAGGGTGTATGGCAGCCATCACTGTCTTTTCTCTGACTTTAATGCACGTTTGTCAGGCTTAGTGTTACTATTCTGTCCATGTTAGTTTCCAAATGTCTAACACTGAATTCATAGTCTGGAGAGGAGCTCTCCTTGTATTTTCACCCATTTAGAGATCTTAGTCAGTGTTTAAGATTTTCCTTGCTTGTATTACTGTCCCCTTTTGTTGAACTTGATCCTATTTGGAGAATAATTTAACTGGCCCATTATTTTCCCAGATTAACCAGGTAAGACTAAATGCCTAAAGCGATTGATTTAACTGATGAAAAACTAATCATAGCCATTGCAGCTATTTATGGCATTTGCCAAGAATGTTGTGTGTTATGCATTGATTTTAATTATTTGGGTATACGACTATTTGGTACTTGAATTTAAACCTATTTTCTGCTCTTATAACTATCACTTTGAGTTGCTTAAAGATATGTACATACTTTATTTCTCCTGCATATTAAGGTAGTGTGTTAACATTCTTCTACTCTGTCAAAAATACCTGAGAAAATCAACTTACAAAGAGAAGAGATTTATTTTGGCCCATGGTTTTAGAAAAGTTTTGGTGCACAATCAGTTGGCCTTGTAATGAGGCAGCAAATCATTGTGATGAAGTAAAGTAACATGTTTAGAACATACAAGCCAAGATAAAGATACAGACTGGGGCCTCATAAACTTTTTCAAAGGCAGACCTAAAGACCAAGTTGATCCAAGTGTAGCAACTTATTAAAGTTTCTTAAATCACCTCCCAAGAGTGCCACACTAAAGTCCAAGTCATTAACTGCCACAGAGACCCTTGGGGTAAAGGGACTCAGGACTTGAAGTATAGCAGGTAGTATTTGTCTTCTCCATGCCTGCCTCCCACTGCTTGGGTGTATTGTCCTGGAATATTTGTCTTCCTTTCTGTGGATTAGCCTTAGCCCTTAAACAAATCCAGCAAGCTGGAAGGATCCTTAGAGATCACCCAGTCACACTGAAGCAGATAGAAACAGAAATATAGTCTGTTGACAGGGAGTTGTCTTCATTGGCATTTTGTCCGTTTATGGATCCATAGTTCAAGTTACAGAATATAGGACTATTTGTAACAAAAGACTTTCTCTTTTTTGCTGTTTTTCTTTTCTTTTTGTTCATTTATCTGTCTTTGGGAGTGAACAACTGCAGCAGTGGTGCTCACTGGACACTATGTTGAAAATGAACTCTACAACTTGTGGGTGAGGACAGAGGGAAAAACTGGGAGAGAGTGAGGGAAGGGGTGACTGTATGCCCCCCTATATCACTTTTACAATAACAACAAAAAGTGGGGGGGAAAGCAACCGATGAATAAAGGTGCTGCATGCGTTCATCTCTGCACAGACGCTTCGTTCCCCCTGGTTTTCAGAGTGCATCATATAGCAGTAAATGCGCTTGGGGATGTTTCTAAGATTTGCTCACTTGGAAGAGATGTATAAATTCTGAAGTTTGTGAAACTTAGTCTGAATTTCTCAAGAGTGTGTGTCTGTGAAAGGGGTGCAGGTGGATTGAAAAAAATGGAATCATTTTTAGTTTATTTTCTATCACGTGACCCCACATAATGTTTTGCTCCTCATTCCCTGTAGTATCTGTAGTGTGTAATTTAGTGTGTGTTATTTAATTAGGCCTGCTTCTTTCATGTTGTGTGTTTTGGTCAGTAGAAATTGAGTTTAAATTTGAGGACAGAAAACTTGGAAAGAAGGATACAATAAATCATGAGCAGGTTATTTAATATTCAACGTATTTTTTTCTGGTTTAGCATGTATTCATTAATGTAACTTTTTTTAATTCAGGATCTTAGAATGTGAGCCACATTGAAATAATTGATAATTGCTATTTACTTTTTTACAGAGTGGAAAAGGAAAATGGCTAACTGAAAAGAGTATTATTTATCATAACTTAAAAGTTGTTTTTAAAATTTTTCTAGGTTGCTGTAGTAAAACTGAAAAATGCAGATAAAGTATTCGCCATGAAAATTTTGAATAAGTGGGAAATGCTGAAAAGAGCTGAGGTAAGAGTCTTAATATTCCAGAAACACTGAGGAACATTTAGGTGGTTTCTTCATTTTTACTAGTTTAAACCATGCTGTAGCAAAAGTCTTTTATCTGGAGTAATTCTGTGAGTTTTTGTTTTTGTTTTTTTACCAATAGTGTGAATTCTTAATAAGGATTCAGCTATTATACTGTACACTATTTCCACAAACTTATGTATGTGTCTCAAAAGGAAATTTCAAAACAAGAGAAAAGAGTATATCCAAACTATTCATGTCACTCAAGAATGATATGCAGTGTGAAATTGAAATAAATAAAAATGACATCAAGTGGAGGGAGTCTGGGAAGGAGCTGGTAACTGGGGGACGTGGGGGGAAATTGTGGGGGCAGCTAAGGCTCTTCCAGTTTGTGTTTACTGAGGTTGAAATGAAGAGTTGCTTTTACATGAAGAGGTTTTCATGCTCTGTGTACTCTAGAACTTAACTCCTGGACCAAGTATAGGGTATGTATATTAAGCTTTGTTGATAGCTGTTGCTTGAAAGAATTATCTTCTATGGATGTTATACATAATATTCTCTTTTCTCACACAATTAAGCTGAATGCTTAAAAGTAAATTGTTACATACTGTGGAAAACCTACTATATGGGAATTCAGTTTAAAATTTTATTTGTTTTTGAAAAATGAAAAATTTTGACTTTTCATCAAAAAAATTAGAAATAGTATTTGAAAAGATTTCTTTGTGTTGATATCTATAATACCTAGGTAAGATTGTTGACTTGATAGCAACACACTTTGTGATTGCTGAAGAGAGTCCTGTGATTTCTTTCAGAATTACTATTTATTTTTACTTCGTCTTCTGTTTCAATATAGATATTCCAGAGGCTTTTTGTGCCAATATTTAACTAAGGATGAAATTTTAAAAAATACACAATTGAGTTTAGAAAAGTGTAAAAGTGGGGCTGGGAAGATGGCTCAGTGGTAGAATGCTTGCCTTGCATGCATGAGGCCCTGGGTTCAATTCCTCAGCACCACATAAGCAGAAAAAAAAAAAAAGCCAGAAGTGGGGCTGAGGCTCAAGTGGTTGAGCGCTAGTCTACAGCTGAAGAGCTGAGGGACAGTGCCCAGGCCCAGAGTTCAGGCCCCACGACCGACAAAAAAAAAAAAGTAAAAGTGTGTAATAATCAGGGGCTGGGAATGAGGCTCAGTGGTAGAGCGCTTGCCTTGCATGCATGAGGCCCTGGGTTCGATTCCTCAGTACCACACAAGCAGAAAAAGCCAGAAGTGGCGCTGTGGCTCAAGTGGTAGAGCTAGCTTTGAGCTGAATTGCTCAGGGACAGTGCCCAGGCCCAGAGTTCAAGCCCCATGACCAACCCCCCCCCCCAAAAAAAAAAAAGTGTAATAATCAGACACATCACTATGGCAAGCAGATTATTTGGTTGAACATTTAATTGAGAAAGTCAATGATTGAATTTGAGAAAACTCTGATCCTCTGGTAACCTTTCCTACATATCTGTTGTATTCTTAGAGACCCAGATATCTGTTTCCAAGGGAAGGTTATTTTGCTTGGTGCTGATAGCTCATGCCTATAATCCTAGCTGAGAATGGAAGGATTGTGGTTCAAGGCCAGCCCAGATGGAAAAGTTCTTGAGACTCTTCTCAACCCATAGCTGGGTAAGATTGGAGGATCATGGTTGTCTGGCCAGCCTGGGCAGAAAGATCTCAAATACTCTCTGTGGAAAGCGAGCTGACTGTGGGTATACCCTCAGAAATGACAGGAAGCCTAGAGTAGCTGGATCTAGGCTCAGGGTCATGCTGGGCAGGAAGTGAAACCCTGTACTAAAAATGGACCCCCCAGTACACACACACAAAAGGGTAGATTGTGTTACGTCTAGACTCAGTATGCCTAAAGCATGAGAATGACTTGACAGCTAGATATTTCTGGATAGCCACTCCAGTTGTGCGATTTACTTTCAAGTTGTATGTGTGCATTGGAGCTGAGGGCTGGAAGTGAGGATGTATGTATATGTAGTGAGACAAAATTGACTAGTGAAATAGCTGCTGAAATTGAGTGGTCCCTTGGAGCAGTTGTCTCTACTTTTGTTTTTTGTGTTTTGTTTTTGTTGGTTGTGGGGCATGAACTCTGGGCCTGGGCGCTGTCCCTCAGCTCTTCAGCTCAAGGCGAGTGCTTTATCACTTGAGCCACAGCATCACTTCCATCTTTTTCTGTGTATGTGGTGCTGAGGAATCGAACCCAGGGTCTCATGTATGCAAGGAAAGCGCTCTACCACTGAGCCACCTTCCCAGCCCAAGTCTCTACTTTTGTATGCTTGGTATTTTTCTTAATTTTTAAATTGTTATTGTATGTACAGAGGGGTTACAATTACATTAGTCAGGTAATATGCTTGGTTTTATATCAGCTTATTATATAGTTTTTATTTTTAAAAGTTATTTCTTGTTGGGCATCATTCCCACCTGGAATTCCAGCTATACTCAGGAGGCTGAAATCTGAGGATTGTATTTAAAAGTCAGCAGGGCAGGAAAGGCTGTGAGACTCCTATCTCCAATTAACCAAAGAGCCAGAAGTGGAGCTGTAGCGCGAGTGTTGGAGTGCTGTCCTTGAGCGAAAGAGCTCAGGTACACTGCTCAGGCTCTGAGTTTAAGTCCCAGGACTGTCATCAAAGTTTTTTTTTTAAATGAATTTTTTACTTGATAGGTTAGTATAGATTTGAACTCACAATTTGACTTTTTATTTTTTGACTGATATTTTTGCACTTTTATTTAGTTTGTAATCATTAGTCAAATGAAACTGGTTAAAGTTAAGCTGGAATGTCTACGAAGTTTCATAGAACTGTCATGGTAAGGTAAAGCCAGGAGAAGGGAGTCTTCCACCCTCTGACAGCCTCTACACCCCCTCTAAATTGTTAGCTGTAAAGCTTGACTTTGGGTCTGTTGACTTATGTATTTTTAGCAATCTTCAGAGAGTATACTGAAGAAACACTTAACGGTGGTAATGTGGAAGCACCAATTAGACAATGAGATTGTTGGGACTTAACTTCTATTACCTTTTAGTTCTATTAAGTTCTTTTTTTTTCCCCCAAGATTATGTTTTTCTTTTAACTTTTTTTTTTTTTTTTTGTTCGGTTGTGGGTCATGGGCGCTGTCCCTCAGCTCTTCAGTTCAAGGCGAGTGCTCTATCACTTGAGCCACAGCGCCACTTCCATCTTTTTCTGTTTATGTGGTGCTGAGGAATTGAACCCAGGGCTTCATGCATGCAAGGCAAGCACTCTACCACTGGGCCACCTTCCCAGCCCTCAGTTCTATTAAATTCTATACATAGTTCTATACATAGTATTTTTGTTCTTTTTTTAGGGGGTGGGTCAGTTTTGGGGTTTGAACTCTGAGCTGTCCCTGAGCTCTTCATCTCAAGGCAAGAGCTCTACCCCTTGAGCCACAGCACCACTTCCCATTTTCTGGTGGTTAATTGGAGATAAGAGTCTCACGGACTTTCCTGCCTGGGTTAGCTTTGAACCGTCTCAGATCTCAGCCTCCTGAGGGGCTGAGCTACTGGTCCCTAGCTTTTTTTCTCTATTTTAAAGAACTAAGTATCATATACTATAGAATTACAATGCATTGTATATTTTCAATTAGAGATTTCTAAAGTTTTCTGGACATACATACATATGTGTGTAAATATATTCTCAGAGTAAATTAAAACTTTAACAAAAGAAAAATCCACTAGAGAAAATGGGCAAAGGAAGTGAACATTCAAAAGGAAGTTCAATAAATATATATTAAGTTAATTCATCTGTACCAGTAATTAGAAATCTCCATCATATTGGCAGCTAGTTAAAAGCCTAATAATGCCAAATACAGGTGAGGTATGGGGAAAGGGGGTGATTTTGTATCCTGGGGTGGGAGCAGTTGATTGATAAGAGTACATAGAAAAAAATTTCTCTCTCTCTCTCTCCCTCCCTCTCCCCCCTCCCCCTCCCTCTCCCCTTCTCCCTCCCTCTCCCCCTCCCCCTCCCTCTCCCCCCTCCCTCTCCCCCTCCCCCTCCCTCTCCCCTTCTCCCTCCCTCTCCCCTTCTCCCTCCCTCCTCCTCTTCCCCCTCCCTCCTCCTCTTCCCCCTCCCTCCTCCTCTTCCTCCCTCCCTCTCCCTTTCTCCCCCTTCCTCCTTCCTCCCTCCTCCCCCTCTCCCCCTTCCTTTCTTCTACCTCCCCCTCCCCCTCCCCCGTCCCCCTCCCCTCCCTCTCCCCCCCCTCCCTCTCTCTCCCTCTCTCTTTCTGTTTGTGTTAACACTGCCTCTTAAACCACAGCTCCACTTCCAGCTTTTTTGGTAGTTAATTAGAGATAAAAGTCTCAGACTTTCTTGCCCAGGCTATTTTGAACTACAATCTCAGCCTCCTGAGTGGCTAGGATTACAGGCATGAGCCATTAGTGTCTGGCGCAAATTTGAAGTTTTCTCCTATGTAGCATTTCTACTTCTGTGTGTGTGTGATTAGTACTAGGGCCTAGGTACTTTCCTCTCCCTTACCTTTTTAGCTCAAGGCTCCTGGCTCTACACTTGAGCCACAGCTCCACTTCTAGCATTTTAGTGGTTCTCATGGATGTTTTGGCCTTAGGTGGCTTCAAACCTTGATTCTCAGGTATAAGCCTTCTGAGTAGCTAGCATTACAGGTGCGAACTACTGGCATCCAGCTCTACTTCTACTTTTATAAGTGCATACTATACGGAAATCTATAACCTGTACAATACTCATTTTAACATTGTAATAACACAAAATTGTAAATAACTTACTATGATTGGGACTTGAGTAAATAAATTAAGGCACATAGAAACAATAGAATAACAGTAGTTACAAGAGGAAAAGTTATTACTGAATAAAAAAACAATCAGTTTGCAAAAGGATGGATAAAATTACAGTATTTATGCAAAATTTCCAAAAAATCTACTTCTGTTGTTTCTGGACATATATAATATATGTGGGCATAGACTATTCACTGTTTTCTAACTACTGGAAAACCAGGGAGGAAGAGAAGGGAAGAGCTACAGAATAAAAATAGAAAGATTATAGGAAAGGCAGTAAAATATGCACATTTATATTATCTGGATGGTGGGTTAAAGTATGCTGTATATCCTTCTGGTTGTTTTGAATTGTAACAGTATTTTTAATATAAAATATTTTCTTAAGGAATCTGAGCTACTGCGTATTTTTTGCTTTGCATGTTGGCTGGTTAAATCACTTAGTACTGAGGTGCTTTTGTTCCAGAATAGAAACATGTAGTAGACACTTGAGGCATTTTGCATGATCTTTTTGTTCTCTTTCAGACAGCGTGTTTCCGTGAGGAGAGGGATGTGCTGGTGAATGGGGACAATCAGTGGATCACAGCTCTGCACTATGCTTTCCAGGATGACAATAACTTAGTAAGACATTTTATGAGCCTCTGTGTCCTTACTCATTTCTTGGTTGATGGAATTTAAAATTATCTAAGGTATCATTTAAATGTAAATTTGTAGATGAGAAAAACCACTGTATTCACAGAGGATAAGTTGTTCATTTGATAACGAGATTTTTTTTCCTGTGGGTGAGTCAATACCTTTCATTGTAATCATTTCTGCTTTTTCTTTTTCTTCACTGGCACTGGTTTGGGTTCAGAGCCTCTTGTTTACTGGACTTGCTCCGCTGGCCCTTTAACACTTGAGGCACACCTTCAGTTCTGCATTTTGCTGGTTATTTTGAAGACTTAATCTCATGTACTTTTCTACCTGGGCTGGTTTTGAGTCATGGTTCTCCAGATCTCAGTCTTCAGAGCAGTTAGGAGTACGGGTGTGAACCATCTATAATCAACAAACAAGTCAAAACTAAATCTAACATGGTAAAGTGCTGTTGGTTAAGTTCTGTAGAAAAGTGTTCTGGAGTTTTTCTTTTCAAGATCTTCCCAATGTATTTTATTCATTGTGTTCTGCTTTTTAAAATTGTACGTAGTTTTAAAAGTTGCTTTGTTCTACATTAAGTAGAGCTAAATTTATATTGGCATCATAAACTACTCTCACAATAGTTGGGGAAGAGATTAGAGGAAAACAAAAATTTTAGTAGCTCTACCAATTGAGAATGAGTAAGAATGAAAAGAAAAACGAAGATGGCAGACTAAAGGTTAAGTGGGTTTACATTTGTTACATTAGTGTGCAGCTCCTTGATCATGCTATTCAGAACTTTATTTATTTAGGTATTTATTTATTTAATTTTGTGGGGCTTGAACTCTGGGCCTGGGCACTGTCCCTCAGTTTTTCAGCTCAAGATGAGCACTCTACCACTTGAGCCACAATACCACTTCCTGTTTTCTGGTGGTTAATTGGAAATAAGAATCTCACAGATTTCCTGCCCAGGCAGATCTCAGCCTCCTGAGTAACTAGAATTACAGGCGTGAGCCACTGGCGCCTGGCCACAGCTTTTCAATTTTTGATCCCAGGCTTTATTTCCAGGTTTATTGTCTCTCATACATATATATATCATGTGGTGGGATTCTGCTCTGTGGCAGATACTGAAAACAAGGAAACAAAGAATAATGTACTCTCATGGTCTCCCTGATAAGTGGATGCTAAATCCAAAATGTTAGGTGATACGACAAAACAGTACTTAAAAAACAAAGAACTCCCACTCATCTGGTCGAACCACTACTAAATATCCCCATGCTGCTGATCACATGTATGGTGTATAACATGTGTACACCGTTATATGTTATAGACTGTGATAGACAATTTGCTCCAGGAAAGTTAGAATGAACTTGTGACTTTAAATGAGCATCATTATTCCACAATACTATGAAATTCGGGAAATTATGTAATCACTTAATCACAATATAAAAAAAAAAGAACCTCGGGGAAGGTAGGGAGGGAAAGGATGGTAGGGGGAAAACAATGGAGGGGGTAACATTACCTTGCTCATTACCTTGCTCATGTAATTGTAGCCCTCTGTATAGTATCTTTACAATAAAAAAAGAGAATAATGTACTTATTACCTTACGTATGTAACTGTAGCCTCTCTGTACATTACCTTGACAATAAAATCAACTTTAAAAAAATGGGGAAGTGGCGCTATGGCTCAAGTGGTAGAGCGTTTGCCTTGAGCTGAAGAGTGCAAGAACAGTGCCCAAGCCCAGAGTTCACAACTGACAAAAAACAAAACAAAACAAATAATGGGACATTTAAATTCATTTGCTAAATACTGCTCTCTAGATCTGGAAGAACGTACAATAGGAAAGGCAAAAAGTCTATTATTATGCTGGTATGGTGACTCAGGCCTGTAATCCTAGCTCAGATTTTAGGAGGTTGAGTTCTGAGGATTGTGGTTTGAAGGCAGCTTGGGCAGGAAACCTTGTGAAATTTTTATTTCCAATTAACTACCAAAAAAGCTAGAAGTAGAGATGTTTTCCCTCCGTCCCTCCCTCCGTCCCTCCCTCCCGTGAGGCTTGAACTCTGGGCCTGGGTGCTGTCCTTCAGCTCAAGGCTAGCGCTCTACCACTTGAGCCACAGCACCACTTCAGGCTTTTTTTTTTCTTTTTGCTTATGTGGTACTGAGGAATCGAACCCAGGGCCTCATGCATACAAGGCAAGTGCTCTACCACTGAGCCACCTTCCCAGCCCCTAGAGATGTTTTTCAAAGTGTCAGAGCACTAGCCTTGAGCATAAAAGCTCAGAGACAGAACCTGGTCCCTGAGTTTAAGCCCTAAGACTTTTGCAAAAAAACCCAAAAACCAAACAGAAAAAGATCTCTTCTTACTTTTACATGCACATGAAGGCACCAGCGGATAACTCCAGAATCAAGTCAGTATTTTAGTAGAATCTCTAAATTGGCAATGTTAGATCAGGGGGCATTTAACTTTTAAATTTTAATAGATACCAGTAAATACAAGTAAACCATATATTAGGGAAAGTTAGTTTCCTAAATTTTCAAGGCATGAGGTAAGTTTTTTTTGGTTTAACATATATTCTTATGCTTTAAATTTTCATATATAGCAAGAAAAAAGTTTAAGTTTATTTAAAATTTTTGGTGGTATTGGGTTTCAACTCATGTTCTTACAAATGATCTACCACCTGAGACTTGGCCTCAGTTTTTATGGTTTTTCTGCCTGACACTACAGTTATTTCTTTTATGTAGGGTCTCATGCTTTTGTCTGGGACCTCACTCATCCTACTTTTGTTTCTTCTGTAGCTGGGATTACAGGTGTGTATCACTGTACCCGGCTTGTTCTTTGAGACAGGATATTTTCCCCCCCAGGCTGGCCTCAAACTATAAACCCCTTCTTTCCTTGCCTCCCAAGTAGCTGTAATTACAAGGTGTAAGCCACTCTGCTTGGCTTCAAGCCTCTGTAAACTGTTATCTCAATGATAACCATTCTGTAATAAAAATTACTGTAATGCCAGTGATGTGTAAGTATCTTCTATACTGGCTTTCATGTTAAGTGCTACATATGCAAATACCACATGTATACGTGATACTTGTTTCTGGCAGCACTGGAGTTGATTCATGGTTGTGAGGCAAAAACTCTTACCTTAGACACAAGGTCCATGTGTAAAATTACCTGGCTTCTGTTAACATATACTTGAGAAGAAAATTTATTTTGATATTTATACTCAATTAGATATCATCAGAAATGAGTAGAGAACCAAAGAATGGAAATAAGTACTTTCTGTCTCATAGTTGTTTCCAGGTGCTTATCTATAGATGGTAGAGATCAGGGTGAAATAGGAAAGTGTAGTGGTAGGGATGATGAAAATGATCTTTGATTTTATATTTATTTATTTTGTCAGCTGTGGGGCTTGAACTCTGGGCCTGGGTGCTGTCCCTCAGCTCTTCAGCTCAAGGCTAGTGCTCTACCACTTGAGCCACAGTGCCACTTCTGGCTTTTTCTGCTTATGTGGTACTGAGGAATCTAACCCAGGGCCTTATGCATGCGAGGCAAGCACTCTACCACTGAGCCACCTTCCCAGCCCCATTGATTTTTGTATTTATAACTCTTTCCAACACAAGGGTTGTCCTACATTCTGAGTTACTTTCTAATTTCTTTTGAGAGTTGAAACATTCAGACCTCTATGAATTGTTGACAAAGCTATGATCCATCATAGGTTGTAACAAAAAATAATCCTGTGCTGCTCTCTGAATTAGTTTTAATTTTTTTTATTTTACTGCTCTGTGGAATTTAAGTCACAGACTTTATAATATGATAACCACTATATTTGGCCTAGGCCTATTTGACTTTGGAGTACATTCAATGTTAATTTTTTTTTACCATTATTACTTTTAAAGTACATTTTGTATTCACAGTACCTGGTTATGGATTATTATGTTGGTGGAGATTTACTTACTCTGCTCAGCAAGTTTGAGGATAGACTACCTGAAGATATGGCTCGATTCTATTTGGCTGAGATGGTGATAGCAATTGATTCAGTTCATCAGCTGCATTATGTGCACAGGTAAGTCGGCCCTGGTTAGCATCTGCGGGGGGCGACCATGGGATAGCTAGAAACACAGCTATTTTCTAACAAATAAATTAATTACAGTCTTAGGTAGATTCTCATCAGCCAAAATAGTTTAAGATGGTTCTAGTTATTTTGCCTCTCATTTGTTTTCATTATTTATTAGCATTACCGAACAGATGTGCTTGTTTATATAAGGTGTACAGTATGTATGCACAAATTCCCATCCAGTCAGCTTTTTTTTTTTTTTTTTTTGGTTAATGTGGGGCTTGAATTCAGGGCCTGGGAGCACTGTCCCTGAACCTGTTTGTGCTCAAGGCTAGTGCCCTACACCCTGAGCCACAGGGCCATTTCCGGTTTTGAGTGGTTAGAGATAAGAGTCTTATGAGGACTATTCTGCTGAGGCTGGCTTCGAACTGTGATCCTCAGATCTCAGCCTCCTGAGTAGCTAGGATTATAGGCGTAGGCCACTGGAACCCAGCTTAGAACTCTTCTGAAAAATACTCTTTAAGTGATATTGGAGGCATGCTTAGTTGGTAGAGCACTAGCCAGTGAATGAAAGCATCAGGTACCAAGTTTGAGTACCAGTTTCAGATAAAACAGAAAAGAAAAGAACACTCTTAACATGGAGCTTCTCCTCTGGTTTGGCTTTTATCTCTGTAAACACTATCAGAGACACACCCAGGGGTGGGCTCTCCAAATTTGTTCATGTCTTCTATCAGTCCAGTGGAGCTGAGACCAAGATTAACTGTCACAAGCCTTATATCTAGATTCTATAAATCTTTCAAGCAATCCAGTAACAAAATGAGAGAACAACCACAGGCATGTCATGCAGGAGAATATACAGATGGCAAATGAACAATGATCATGAGCTATTAACCAAAGACTACTTAAACCCACCAGTATCCTGGAGCAGTTAAAACAAAGAAGTAATGGTAAATACACAGAGAAATAGATCTCTCATATACTAAAAGAAATGTAAACTATAATCCTAGGTACTCAGGAGGCTGAGGTCAGAGCATGTAGTTTGAAACCAGACCAGGCAGGACAGTCTGTGAGATTCCATCTCCAGACTAAGCAGTCAGTAGCTGGGGCTGGAGGTGTGGCTCAAGTGGTAGAGTGCCAGCTGTGATTAAACAAGCTGAGTGAGCACACAGGCCCTGAGTTCAAGGTTTAGTTGTGATTGGTGTGTATGTGCACATGCAGGCATAAACACACACACACATACACACACGGTAAAATGACAGAACTACTCTGGAAAATACTAAACACTGTTTTTCCAAATTACCAATTTCCAAATTATTCAACAATTCTTGGATATTTTCCCCAGAATAATTAAAGTGCACACTGGAATACTTGTCCATTAACATTCATAGCAGCTTCATTTGTGAGAGTAATATATTGCAGTAGCAATATATTGGAAATACTATTCAACTGATGAATGATTGAACAGCTTGTGGTATACCACATGCTGGAATATACTACTGAACAATGAAAAAGAATGAGCTTCTGCTACCTGAAAATAACGAAATACTACTGTGACATATGATTCCGTTTATCTCATATGCTTAACAACATGGTCAAGATAGAGGGCAGATGAATTGTTTCCAGGAGACAAAGACAGAAGAGAGAGAGGTAGTGAGTAGCAATAAAGGGGCAGTGTGAGGAAGGTCTTTGTGGTGATGGAGCAGTGTGTGTCTTGATAGTGGAGATAGCTACAGGACTCCACCATGGTAAAATGCTGCATAGATCTGCACACAAAGATTTCAGAATGGATGAAAACTGAGCAAGTTCTGTAGTCTTAACAGTAATGAGCCTATGCCATTTTCCTGAGTTTTCTGTTATGGCAAGGTTATAATAGTTTCACTTGTGGTATTGAGGATTTAGCTCAGTGGAAGAGCACTTGCCTGGCAAGTACAAGACCCTGAGTTCAGTCATCAGCTCTGAAAAACAAACAAAACAAAAAAAGTTTCACATGGGACAGAGTACATGGTATTTTACACATTGTACTAGTTCCCTCTGAGCTTTTAATCATTTCAAAATAAAGTTTTTAAAAGAAGCAACACCTCTGTTACTTGCTTTTCCGCTGTCTGGAAGCCAAGCCCAAGAATTTGTTTGTCATTATTTTAACTGTCATGCACATACATTTTGTTGGACTCCTCAGGTTGCAAAATTTGTTTAGTTCTCTTATTTGTGAGAAGTGAATTGTCTTACCAGTTGAAAGGGAAGTCTGCAGTCCCACATTTTGGGTATCCTCTGCATGTTGGTGACATGCAGGTCACAAGTTGAGCTGAATCTACTTCATGGAGTAGGTTGAGACAGAGGTCCAGGACTGAGTCTGGAATCTAAGCATAAAGCCAACACTAGCATCTCAGACTCAGCAGCCAAAGGTAGCAAGGAACATCATAGAGCACGAAGCAAAGATATGACTTATTTTCTTTATAATTCATGAATTCTTAGCTGGTACATTTCACACAAGTGAAGTTACCATTTTACTAGTGTTTTTGATGTTGGATGGGCTAGGCTGTATTTTTTGTTCATGTGAAAGGCCTGCTTTTGTCTTCACTTTAGCATCTTTTTCAGACTGCAGTTTAAGAAGATGAACTATGTCACAGTTGTCCTTAAGCAGGACAGATCACTATCTCATGGTTAATTTTATAAATTCACTCATTGTGGTGTTGTTGTTTGTATTGCTTTTCTGGTACTGTAGTTGCTCTTGGCAGAAGTGGGCATAGTCTCTCCTTTTAGAAGTGAACTTGAAATCTAATTCTAATAAGAAATTGACAATAAGAGCAGTTATTTTAAAAAGTATAGATGGAAGTGGAGATGTGGCTCAAATGTTAACGCTCCTTGAGCAAAAGAACTAAGCCATAACTAAGCCTGCACTCAAGGCCCATCAGCAGCCCCAAAGGAAAAAATAGTTTTATAAACCATGTACCTAAGCCCTGTAGAGCTAGAGAACAGTAAGTGCTCAAATGATCACAAAGACCTTGGAAACCAGGCCTGTGGAAAGAAAGAGCTAGCTGGGGAAAGAGGACCAAGGAAACAAAATACACAGGGAGGGACCACTATATTTAATATTATATTTTATCATCATTTAAGTTTAGCATTGTTATCATTTTCGTGTTAATATATCACTTGAAAATGCAGAAGACAAAAAGAACAAAATATTAATATTATAAAGGGTGTCCAGTCTCTCCGAATGCTTTTAATGAAATGCTTTTGTTTCCCTCTTTGTGTGTGTTTGTTTGGTTTTGGTTTTGGTTGGTTATGGAGCTTGAACTCTGGACCTGGGCACTGTCCCTCAGCTCTTCAGCTCAAGGCTAGTGCCACAGCACCACTTCCTTTATGTTTGTTTAAATACCATTTTGTAATTTGTAAAATATTTCTTTTCAATAATTTGCCAACTCAGATTTTAGACTTTGCCATAAATGCACTTAAGTTTTCAACTGGAAGCTTGAATGGCATCATTTTTACTTTTGATTTTCTGAATAGGCAGTTTGTATTTTCAAGGTGTGTTTTTATTTCAATCATTTGTTGGCTAGAATACAGAATTTGAGAGTAGAGCTTATTTCTACTGACTTCATATTAGCATGTGGTATGTCTGATTCAGGTCATTTGAAGTTTCTGCCAGTGTTGGGTCTTGGTAAAGTAAATATTAATTGTAGGTTGAAACTATTTGAGGCATTCCTAAACATGTTAATTAACCTCAGCAATAGACTTGGTAGTTTAGATAATTAGTTATTACTTCAAAAATACTAGTAAATGAAAGACAGAATCATTCTAGAACAAAGAAAAGTAAATTTGATATGATTAGAATGTTGTATTTGCTTATCATATGCTTTAGTTTTCGATAACAAAAATGGAAAGATTGGGAGTTTTGTGATGTTTTCCAGCATCTATACTCTATATAGATAGTCGTAATGTTGACCTGGCACCCAAATGTGAACAGCTAGTACCGTGTGACCAAGGTCTTCCTTTGATCTCCCACTGCCTCCAAACTGAAGGGATCTTAGTAGAAACACCTCGTTTTAATTGAGACAGCTCATTGCTATTTGACATACTGCTTTGTCATAGAGAATAATATTATAAAGTGTATAATGCTTTAAAATAATGGATTAGAGAGAAATACATATGTGTATATAAATCCACAGAGATACCAGTTTCATTTCTTTAGTTTATGTATCTATTATAAAATGAAAGGTCTATTTTTTAAGGAAGGTTTTTAGTGGAAATAGATTTTCCTATAGACAAATAATAGTAGAATAATAAACAATTTTAAAAATTGTTGGGAACTGGGAATTCCTTATTTATTTAATTTGAACTTGGTGGATCACAATACTTGACTTTTTTGCTGAAGGCTGTTGCTCTACCACTTGAGCCATGTCTCCACTTCTGAGTTTTAGCTAGTTAATTGGAGATAAGGGTCTTACAGACTTTTCTGCCCAGACCAGCTTTGAACCTTTATCCTCAGATCTCAGCCTCCTGAGTAGCTAGGATTATGGACATTGAACCACTAGCTCCTTCAAATGTAGTTTTTAAAAGAAGATCTAAAATTGTGAATTTCTCTTTGATAACTGTCTTCATAAAAGCACAAGTTATTATCCCTGCTACTCGTTACTGTTGATACTCCGGATCATTTGTACATTACTGCCTCCTAAAGCTTTTTCACCTTAGGAGGAAAGACCTCCAGTTTTTTGTGTAACTTGCCAGAGGTGTTCAGTGCATATTAAAATTGTTGTGATATTAAATTGTGAATAGTTTTTAAAAAATCGCTTTAGTGAAATAGTCATATACTACTCATGAATAGTTGTTTTTGGTATATTCATAAGTACATGCAACCATTGCTGCATTTTCATTATTTCAGAAAAAATTCTCACCTCTCTATCCCCACACTCCACCAGCTCTAAGCAGTCATTAACTCGACAGTTAAGTTGACTGCTGTAAAGCTAAATCACAGGAATTTTCCTGAGTTTATGACACAACTCAAAATATAC